ATAAGAAGAAATTGATACTTCAAGTTTTTGTTACTTTGCACTCTCTTGCCTGCTCTTATATAGGGGAAGAGGTACTAAGTTTTTTCACCAAGTATAATGTTTATGCATTCCTATCATCTGGGCTCTTAGCATGTCTTAACAAAAAATAAGCATTAAAAACAACAGCTCCAAGAGCTACTTCTGTTAGCCTTAGGTGTGTAAAAGCTATCCCATCAGATGCATAGCCACAAATTTGTCCTTTGCTACAACTGTTTCTTTTTTCCATGCTGGGCCATTTTAAAATTTCCATTTATTTACCTCTCCATGATATTTATGTTGCAAAATTTTCCCCTTCCAAGGAGATAAAAAGTGGAAGAAGAGATGACTGCTCCAAAGTTGAGCAATCTAGAAGTGTAGTGCTGCTGAGGTGCAACTGCCACTAACTGCACTGAAGGTCAAGGGGACCCAGAGCACTGAACACCTGATGCAATTTGCTTGTCCACCTCTCCATCCATTCGACAGCTCTCTACTGTTGTCCATTGCTGGGGTACCAAAGAGCTTTTTAAGTTAAATGGCACAGCAACAGAGAAGTCCCCAGAAAGTCCCATTCTTCTTATTCTCACCGTAAAATTCTAGCTGGGCTGAGGTTCAGTGGAATGAACTCCAGTTGCAGCGCTAATGCCATCTGAGGTTCTGCATGAGTTACATAGATTGGCTAATGGCTATACAAGAAAGAGAGGCTGAGCTTGCTAAAATCATTCTTACACAGAGTTTGCTTGTGAAAAGAAGTTCTGTCTCCTACTTGCTGGTGAGCATGGTGGTGTTTCAGTAATCTAGGTAGGAGAGTGAGCTCTGATAAACCCAAGTCCTCTACTCCAAGGAAAAAAATCTTTGCCTTCAGCTGAAATCAGCACCATTTCACAGTTCACCATCATTTCACGCTCATGGTTCATGTCATCATTTCACAGTTTGTATTAACTGTGCTTATTAAAGTTCTTCTCCAGTTTAAATTGGTTCCTTTCCGACTTTTATTTTTCCTGAGATCTGCATCAGTCATACACAGAGTCCTGATGTCAGTAACACAAGGTATTGGATACCATTTCTATTTATCATAATTGATTTCCTTTGATTGTGTATAGTTCTAAGAGGCAGAAGCAAATGATATTTTTCTAACAGGAATTCCTGGTATATTATAATAGCTTTATGACTGTTTAAAAAAAAAATACAGAGTAAAGGTTACTGCCTCAGTATAACAGCTTTTCCTGAGAGAATGATTACTTAGAATTATGAGTCAATATTGAATTGCAGGTGAAACTGATCCTGGTGGTCCTGATTCAAAATTGTCTGAAATGAGCTCTCTATGTGACCTGATTTCCTCAAATGTAGAGGACCAGCAGCTAAATTTAGCTCTATGCTCATAAATTAGGCAATAGCTATTCTTTCTTTCTAAATCTTACCTATAGAATGGCTGAAGCCACATGCACCTAGATATCAAGCATCCACAGCCTTCTTGCTACAGTAGCAAAGCTTCTTACTTTCAAATGTTAAGAAAGTATACTGTACAAAAACCAATTTTGTGATATGAGAAATCCCCACGAACTTTTATCTATTTTAGCTGTTTCTAGCGTGATGGTTTGAGAACAGTAAGACACAGTCACATCAGTGTTATTTTTTCTGTTTTGCATTTATATACTTTTTCAATCAACAAGCACACCCACCCACAAATACGCGCCGCCGCCACATTCTCTCTGCAACCATCAGAATTGCTCCTTGGGCACAAGTGCCACCATTCGGACCACAAAAAAATGTATCCTAAGTCCACACACAAAATTGCTACAGACAGCTTGTGGATATTCACACCACTGCTGGGAATTGTCCTGCTCCGAGCATGGCTGCCATCTCCATCTCTCCCATGAGTAATGTTTTGCACGCCTGTATATTACTGTTACAGGTAATATATACTTAATATAGCTCTTCATCTTTGTTGTTTAGGTGATTCACACATGAGGCAACCTTTTTCCTAAAATCCCTGGATTTCTCAGGTTTCCAAAAACTGCCTGCTAGGTATAGATGGTCCCAGGTTTCTACCCTTTCTGACCAGGGTGCAACAGCAGGGTCAGTGTAATGAAGTCAGCAGGAGCTGAGGGATATTTGTTACTATTAAATATCCAGTGACTTACGCACGTTCTTAAATATCCTATTGGGTCCAAAAGTATAAGGCATGTAGTATTTTTGGCTCTTAGCCCATAGCCTTAATTTGCCTAATAGAATACTTGGAAGGCTGAAGAGACTTGTCAGATAATATAGGAGCTTAAGTGGCCATCTCATCCTTACCTTGGCAGTAGCCAAACATGAGTCCTTCAGGAAGAGTGTAAGATATATATCACTCTTCTCATGAGTACTTCTCTTGCCTTCAATCATTTGCAGCTTAGGGAATTCCTGAACCAGAGTGATTTTATGCATTTAATAACTCTCAATTAATTTCTACCCTATGATCTCATGCAGTCTGCTCCTGAAGCCACATGAACGTCCACATCAGCCTATCTCAAGGAACTCTGTGGATGCTGTACGTGAGACAAAACTTGATCAAACATGACATTCACCAGATTTGGTGCCTTCTTGCTCTTGTACTGGGGAAAAAACTGGAATCAGTCAATCCCTATTCACCCTCTCTATAGCTTGCTTTATTTTATAAATCTCAGTAAGACTCTCACAGTCATCCTTTGTCCAAACTAAAGAGACGTAGCTTCCAAAATTGTTCTTTCTTTAGGGTGGTACCATGCCTTTGATCATCTTGTTACCCTTCTTTGAACCTTTCTTAGACCTGTATCTTTTCTAAGATACTCTTTAAGGGGAAGTGGGGAAAGTATCAGAACAGGACATGGTATCTAGGACTTAGGAGAACATGGATTTATTCAGGGACAGAATGAAGTTCTCTGTTTTGTCTTTCGCAGAAGTCACTCCTGAACACTGAGCTGTTGTTGCCATGAAACTGTTACAGCCCCCCAAGTTTACTCCTGAGTGATAGTCATCAGTTCAGAGGCTCTCATCTTAGTCAGGAGTGGAGTCAGGAGTGTTTTATCTTATGTGCATCTTTTGCTGTATATATATACACTGAATTATCATTTGACACCTAGTTGATGATTTTCATAAAGTCCTTCTGCAATTCTTCTGACAGCCCTAGTCTTCCTCTGAATAATTTTGTATCATCAGCAAACATTCATATTCTGAAACTTTGAAGGCACTCCTTTTCAGAATAGTTCACTCAATGCTGTGAGTTGATTAAAAGGCTATAATAATTTAACTATGGGGCAGAAAATCTGATATTGTCCTTGCAGTAGAGTGCCTATATATACAAGTACATATATGTTGGACTGTATGCATTGGTGCACAATGTATACAGTAACTAAGTTATTACTAAGCAGTGATGCGAGCTCTCCTACTTTCCTAAAAGGTGAGACTGGAGGCAGATGCATTTCTGGAGGAGAAGAATCTTCCACTATTATTTCATATGGGCTACAAGAAGGAAACACCTTCCTAGGAAGCTGACAGCAGCCTTTTTGAGGTCATCCTGTCACACCAGTCTGATACATGCACGCATTCCTTGATTCAGGGATGTCTTACCTCTCTGGTCTTCTGTACAAACATTTAATTGGCCTATAAACATCTATATGACTTCAGAACAGGATTTTCTCTAGAAATTTTATATATTTTGTTTTCTGGGAGGAGTTGGGTGAATCTTGTGTCACTGGTACTTTTGAGGACACTTGACTTCACTAACAGCCTTAATGATGACAAAAGGAGCCGGTAAGAAAACCAGTGTCTTTCTAAAAGGGTTCCATCTCCTCCTTGTCCCATGGTGCACACCATCTTTCTTGAGCAATAAACTTATTTGTTTTGCAACTAGAGGAACTGAGAGCTACCATTCAGACTGCCTACTTTGGCTAGGCAGGTAGTGGGAAGTATCATCCCGAAGTTAAAGCTTGCTCAGTTTTGAAACAAGCTCTGAAACAGTGCCTTTAGCTTGTGCTCCAACAGGTAATGCCATGGCAAACTAGGATTTGGCCCTTATATCTGAAGGAAGGGTATGTAAATTATAAATCCAGTTAATTTAAGCACGTTTAGCTTATCTTGAAGGTCAGTGGGCGAACTTCTCAAGTGATTGAAGTTAAGCATGTGCTTAAAATACTTTGCTTGATTAGGTCTGGTAAGATCAGCATCTTTTTGATGACAACCATTTGAATAAAAGTAGCAAATTAATAGAGAGGCAGCTGCCCCAGGAGGCCGTGCAGTGAAATGTTGTCTATCACTGAAACTAGGCCTGTTTTAAACTTGCCTCTGGTGACCGAGTTAGAGAAAAGGCAAATGCCTCTGAACTTCTGCCCCACATCTTGACGTGAAGTAGGAGCTCTGAGAAGCCCCCTTTGTAAAAACGTACCCCGGGCATCTATGTTTAACTCATGTTCTGCTGTTCTTTGTTTCCAAACACACTAGACTAGCATTTAAAGTGACTTTTTGGCAGGTGCTGATCACTGGCTGAAGAAGGGAGAGTGTTTGTCTTCATTTTATGCTGAGGACATTTTGTTAGAGACTTTATGCTGCCCGACCATACTTTAGCTGTTGCAAATGTGAATGCAAACACGTGCCATCTGGAGCTATAACCAAATCTGAGACTAAAATATTAGTATAGAAAGTAAATAATCAGCTCAGCGATGCTCCTCAGGCAGAAGATGGGGTGACACAGGAACATATTTCTGAACTCTTCAGCTTCTTATGAATCTAAAGCAGCAATGGATTTCCATGTATGCAAATGCATGAATAAACCCAAAAGGGCTTTCATGGTTGTTTAAAACAAACAAACAAACAAACAAACAAACAAAGAAACCCCAGCTGCACAAGTAAACTCTTTCCATGATTTTTGAACAGCTTTATCCTGCCTCTCGGTAACATGGGGTCAGAGCCTTCCTCAACTGAAAACCCAACCAGCAGAGCTGCGCCCACCATAGCAGACGTGCTGCTACTGGGCCATTTCTCCCTTGGTTAAAGGTAAGGGTTTGTTTTAAGCAATGTATGGAAAGGGGCATGAATCTGGAGACGTGAGTAGGCTTTAAGCTGCCCAACGTCAATTGTTTGCTTTCTTCATACTAGAAAAATTGGTGAATTTTTGTAAGGGTAAATTGGCAAATTTTTATAAGGGCACACCCCCGGGGGGGGTGGGGGTGGGGGGGTGGGGGTGTAGAGGTTGTAAAATAAACCAGAAATGACCTCGTACCAGATCGTGCCATTTTTCTACAGCTCCCCCACCAAGGAGATGGTATTTGTACAGTCACCTTTATCAGCAGTGGGACAGGCACTATCTGTCATTTTAAATATAGATAGATATACCACTTATTATTGCTCAGCAAGTAGAAAATGCTGGAAAGCAAGGTAGAAAATGGGCACAGTTTTGAAAAAGCAGAGTTAGAAAATGCTCCTGGCTAGAAATGCCATCTGCAGAGTGGCACTGAAAAGGTGACTCCTCCCTTCAGCCCCCTCCCCTGCTGAGAAGAGTGGTTGAAATGAGAAACATTTTAACATAGTATGGAGCCCACTATCATATTAAACTTAAATTTGTCTTATATCATTGATAAAGATAAATGATATAAAGATATAAAATATCTTTATAAGATATTATAAAGATATATCTTTAATATTATAGATAAATAATAGATATATCATTTAAATATAAATATCATGTAAATGATATATCTAAATAGAGATATATCATTTATCACAGATAAATACCTAATCTAGTGATTAGCACTCTATAAATACCACAGGTTAGTGAGTGAAGGTTAGATGGCAGATATGTGGTGGTGTGCTTGTTTTGGCTGGGGTAGAGCTAATTTTCTTCACAGTAGCTGGTATGGGGCTGTGTTTTGGATTTGTGCTGGAAACAGTGTTGATAACACAGGGATGTTTGCATTGCTGCTGAGCAGTGCTTACACAGCGTCAAGGCCTTTTCTGCTTCTCACCCCACCCCACCAGCGAGTAGGCTGGGGGTGCACAAGAAGTTGGGAGGGGACACGGCTGGGACAGCTGACCCCAACGGACCAAAGGGATATTCCATACCATGGGACGTCATGCTCAGCATATAAAGCTGGGGGAAGAAGAAGGAAGGGGGGGATGTTCGGAGTGACGGTGTTTGTCTTCCCAAGTAACCATTACGCGTGATGGAGCCCTGCTTTCCTGGGGATGGCTGAACACCTGCCTGCCCATGGGAAGTGGTGAATGAATTCCTTGTTTTGCTTTGCTTTTTTTGCTTTACCTATTAAACTGTCTTTATCTCAACCCATGAGTTTTCTCACTTTTACCCTTCCGAGTCTCTCCCCCATCTCACGGGGGGGGAGTGAGCGAGCGGCTGTGTGGGGCTTAGTTGCTGGCTGGGGTTAAACCATGACAGTCCTTTTTGATGCCCAATGTTGGGTGCTCGCTTACCCTCCCCACCTCAGTGGGATGGGGGAAGAACAGTTTAATAATTGGGGAAAAAAAAAATCTGTAATGAAAAGGAAAACAACAACAGAGAGAGGAACAAAACCCAGGAAAAACAAGTGATGCAACCACTCACCACCTGCCGACCAATGCCCAGTCAGTCCCTGAGCAGCGATCACTGCCCCCCAACCAACTCCTCCCAGCTTATATACTGAGCATGACGCCATATGGTATGGAATATCCCTTGTTGGTCAAAAAAAAATAAATCCCAAACACTTCCATTTTATTTTGAAATATACAAGGGGCGACTAACTTCTATCAGAGGTATAGGATTAATGCACTGAGTTTTCCCTGTGACAAAATTAACATGCGCAAACTTCCTTCACTGTTTGCCATAGGATAACTTCTCTATCAGTAACTTTTAAATTAAATACCTATCCAGATTGGGGGGAAAAAAGGAAGAAAGTTCTATTTCAAAACTGGGATTTTCTTAGAGCTCAGACTACTTAAAAACTGATAGAAAAAGTTTGATTTATGAAGAAAATGAATTTTGAGTGCTCAAACCCAGAGTAAGATAGTCGCAGTGTCTCTGTGTAGAAAGAACCAGGATGCTGAGAGAGAAGATCCTGAAACTTTTAAATAGTACAGGTTAAAAACTGAAGGGAAGGAAAGGAGGAAAAGATAAACCTGAGCACATTTAATAAGAGCAGATTATGACAGCATAAATGTTATTTGCAAATATTCATATGAAGATGTGAGTTGCCCATGGAGTCAAAGGTGGCCACAAGACACAAGCACTTCCATGCTGTTCACTGGTAGTTTGAAAGACATTCGGACCTTCTTCTGGACCTATTTCTGTATGCAGTAAATGAATGCTTTGCTCATTCACTACTGAGATTTCAGCGTTGTGAGATCAACTGCTGTTTACTCTGGCATTTATGTTATTCCTGTCATTCTGAAAAACAGCTCTGAGATTTTTAGAAGCAAGCACATTTGCAAAAATCATATTTTTTAAAGAGAAGTCTGGCTCTGTTTGCCTCATAAAAGTCTGCACTTAACCACTTTTTAAAAAATACTATTATTTTAAGGCCAGTGGAAACTCCATTAAAGCGTTTCAAGAAATCGTCAGATCGTTAGAGCAATGGAAATTGAAACATATGCAATGTACTGATTTCAAACACATTATAAAACAGTGGGCAAGAAATCAAGTGTGTTCTCTAGTCTTAGTGTAACATTCTCCTTCGGGACCCACACAATACGGGAGTGAGTTTATCATGTTATATGCCAGTGACTGCTCCTAGCTTGCAGTGGCTACCAAAAGGTATTTTTCCTTCAGAGATGCCTGCATTGCCACCTCTTAAACTGGCCTCTGAAACTAAGTGGAGACATACCTTTTTCTCCTTTAGCTACCCTGGGAAACACATGTATGAGGAGCATCGTCCTTGAGAGAGTGTCTGATACCTAGAACTACCACCCTGCAGGGAACAGATGCTTTAGGGTCCGGCCATGTCCTTGAAATCATGTTCAGAAAGGCAAGATTCATCTGAAAGCAACTGAGAGTGTTGGAGAATCCAGATCAGTCAGTAGAGTTGTAAGGCTTGTGTGAACACGTAAAAAGAAACAAAAGACCAAGAGAAGCACGTGTCTGCAGGGTGTTTAGGTCAGTGCTCAACAATCCTTTCACCCTCCCTAATTCCTGTGACAAGATGGTAAGAGCTTCGCAGCAGTCCTCTAGGAGGGTACATCCAAACTCAGATGGACTGAAGCATTTATACCTTCAGGACCTGCTTCCCTTTATAGCTCAGATCCAACAGTGGGGGTCATTCTAGTCCAAACCTCTCCCCCTTTCCCTCCCTCCTCCTGCCCTGATTACTTCCTGTTCATTAGGCCAAGCAGGAAAGGCTCTAGCACTTCCTTCCATTAAGCCAGTACTTGATACCATCTGTTGTGGAGATGTCAATCTCCTTTGGACAAGGCTGGAGGGTTTGTCCTCGCTCAGACAGGTCACAGCTATTCCCATAACTGGCCAAGACCCTTAACAAGCTCTCAGCTCATTGTGAAGTAGAGCTGAGCTGGGAAACGCCCAAATCCCGATATAAATGTTTCATATTAAACCTCCTATTCTGTACCCACACCATGTACCCTGCTGATCATGTTTTATACGATCTCATGTGTGAACAAATGATACAGCTCATTAGTTGGTCTCATTTGAGACTAGAGTTGATGGCAACCACACACGTGGAGTTGACAGTATTTTGGAGGCTACCTCAACCCAGTTCCCAGCTCAGTGTTTGGAGAGGCTGCTGGGACAAGATGTACCAAGCTGACCCAGCAGGTCTCATCCTGTGGTAGGAGGCCAACCCCTCGGAGCTCTGTGCTCCTTCTGGGTCCCACACACCTCTACACCCATCAGACTCCTCAGAGTGTCTTAGCTGCTTTGGAAAGCAGGAGGAAAGTCATCTGCAGAGAGAAGAAAATGACCTTGAGGTGGTTAATGAACCACCAGTGGAAAAGAACAGCAGAGCTGGTC